AGAAAATCATCGGCCCTGTTTATGGTCGAGTAAGTAATACCAAAGCTGCGATTTTGATACATAATTTTAATATAAAATATCAATAAGATCAAAACAATTTCAGAAAAAGGATTCTATCCGCACACGTGATACAAAAATAGCTTCAGACGACTAATGCTGCGGATCACAATTGAAAAACGGTAAAAAAATCTTGAAGATATAATTTCATATTATAGATTGATAGAGAAAAATGCAATAGCCACGATTTTACTAAACCGATTTCATTGTAATTAACTGCCATTAGAACTGAAATAACAATATTTGTTAGAAATTCAAGAAAGGTTTATTTACATAGAATGGAAAACTTTTTATTAATAAGCTAGCTGCATTTCAACTCTACATTATACAAATCCATATTAACTTTTAGCAATTTCTACGTATATACTATATATATATTAAATTTACTATTTTTTATATATACCTTTTAATTATGATTTATTTTTAATCAGCTTTTAAGGTAATAAATTTAATATGACTATGATTATCAAGAGTGACTACGTACGTATATAGAGGCTAGATTGTATATGTTTTTAATAATTAAGTTTTATAAGTGAAATTTAGGTTAGGGTTATATGACAATGTTAAGGGTTTAAATTTTAGTTAAGGTGAAGTTTTTGGGGCACTGAACACTGTACTTAGTACATACAGTATAGCACTAATTAATTCGAGATACTGTAACTGTGGTGTTAACATCACTGTTATGATTTAGTAAAATTGGTTCAAAAACCTTTGTAAGATTGATAATACAGCATATATCTAATTTTATTTTAATTACTAATCTTATTTCTAACAAGTTTATATACAGTATAGTGTTAAATACGTACTATTACATAGTATAATTTGTATTATAGCTTTTTTAAAAAAATTATGCTTTTTTGAATATATCTTAATTCTTATTATTCATACCAACTTGCTGTATATGCACAGTATGTACAATTCTGCTTCTCGCTGCTGAGTTGATTAAAATCAGCCAATCAGACAACATATCACGTTCAAATGAATCTTGCTGATGTCAAGATCAATGATAATTTAATAACTCTTCCTAATAAACGTATAGTTAAAAATGGCAAATCCTAATAATATGAGTGCTGTTTACGCAACTGATGAGTATGGACGTCCCTTTATCATAGTAAGAGAACAACAGAAGAAGAGTCGTCGCAGTGGAATCGATGCTATAAAGGTTACTTTACTTTCGTGGTATAAGACTGATAGACCCTGTCAATTCAACTTTGTTTACCCTGTCCTAACTCTGAACTTGAAATTTAGTCTCATATATTAGCTGCAAAGACTGTAGCAAACATTATCAAAACTTCTTTAGGGCCTAGAGGTTGGTTTAATTTCTATTTATGCCTCAATGAGGTAGCTTTACAATGAGTTCGATCCGATCGTTTTCCTTTAGATATCTTTTTGTTTTGAAGATTTTGATTTAAAATATACAAAATGACTCACATATCTTTGATTAATTATTTTGATCTTAATTTCAAAGGCCTTGACAAAATCTTGATTTCTCCGGATGGCGATATCACTGTAACAAATGATGGTGCTACCATTTTGACACAGATGGAAGTAGAACATCAAATTGCGAAATTATTAGTTCAACTATCTAAATCCCAAGATGACGAAATTGGTGATGGAACAACTGGTGTAGTTGGTATGTTATTATAAATATGTGATCAAATGACAAATATTTTCGGTCCAATAATTTATTTTAATTTTTTATACGCGTTTGTGTCAAGTACTTGCCGGTGCCCTTCTTGAACAATGTGAAACTTTATTAGATCGTGGAATTCATCCAATTAGAATATCAGATGGTTTTGAAAGAGCGTGTAAATTGGCCGTCGAACATCTAGAAAAAATTTCTGATGTGGTTGAATTTACAAAAGAAAATACTGAAAATTTATTTAAAACCGCTATGACAAGTCTAGGAAGTAAAATGTAAATTGTTTATATATCATTTTCTATTTATTTATTTTTTTGTTCTAAAAATTGTTTACTTACAAAATTTTCATTGAAATTAATTATTATTTTTTTCTTTTTTTTGATACAATTAATGTTAAAGTGTCTCTAAACATCACGACCAATTTGCTAAAATAGCTGTAGAAGCTGTTTTGTCAGTTGCTGACTTAGAGCGTAAAGATGTTGATTTTGAACTCATTAAAGTTGATGGTAAAGTTGGTGGCTCCCTTGCTGATACTATCCTTGTACAAGGTGTTGTTGTTGACAAGGATATGTCGCATCCGCAGATGCCGCGTGAGATCCGAAATGCAAAAATTGCAATATTGACATGTCCTTTTGAACCTCCAAAACCAAAGACTAAACATAAATTGGACATTACTTCTGTTGATGAATACAAAAAGTTACAAACTTATGAAAGGGAAAAATTTGAAGAGATGATTAAACGTGTAAAAGATACAGGCGCAAACTTGGTCATATGTCAATGGGGTTTTGACGATGAAGCAAACCACCTATTAATGCAGAATCATTTACCTGCTGTTCGATGGGTTGGTGGTCCTGAGATTGAGGTAATTACAACTATTTATTAATGCAATATTTGAAATCTATATTTTTATTCATCCCTTTTCAACATCTCTTAGTTAATTGCCATCGCCACTAACGGCCGTATAGTACCACGTTTTGAAGACATGAGACCTGAAAAACTTGGCGTTGCTGGTCTTGTACGTGAGATCTCTTTTGGAACAACAAAGGATCGCATGCTTGTTATTGAAGAATGCTCAAATTCTCGTGCTGTCACTGTATTCGTACGTGGTAGCAATAAAATGGTGGGTATTTTTAAAGTGAACAACTCTTTTCTTTAATTGGATATATGGTATTAAATAATTATTTGCTTGCATAGATTGTTGATGAGGCTAAACGTGCTACTCATGATGCTCTTTGTGTTGTGCGTAACTTGGTTCGTGATAATCGTGTTGTATATGGGGGTGGTGCTGCCGAAATTAGTTGTTCACTTGCTGTTTCTAAAGCTGCAGATCAGGTAAGAGCAGATAATGATAGCTCATGTTAATAAAACTTCAAATGCCGGACTATGTATTCATTATAAATCCCACAATTTATTATAAGATATCATCTATAGAACAACATGCTATACGTGCATTCGCCTATGCTTTGGACGCGATTCCTATGGCATTGGCTGAAAATTCTGGACTTTCCCCAATAGAAACTTTGGCTGATATTAAATCGCGTCAAGTGACCGAGGACAATAGTCGTCTTGGTATCGATTGCACGATGACTGGATCTAATGGTGATAATTTTTTTATACGTTAATGATGCACAAATTTTACATAAACTTTTTAACATTCGATTTATTTTTATTTAATGTCTAGATATGAAAGAACAATTTGTTTACGATCCTCTTATTTCAAAAAGACAACAATATTTATTGGCAACACAGCTTGTAAAGATGATTCTCAAGATTGATGATGTAAGTTTTTTTTGCATTCACTGGTGTTTATGTATTTATATATATTAAAAAAATTTATACATTTTATAAAGGTTATCACCTCAGGTGCGAGCGAATAACAAGATTAAGAATATATTGTTTTATAATAAACTTAATTTTGGGGGTTTATGTTTGTTGAATGATAAATTTAAAAAAAATACTTTTAAATGCCTTTTGATTCGTCACATAAATAAGTTGAACGCTTGTGTGTTTTATGAATTCTAACGCAACATATGACCTGCGCCTATATGCAATGCTGTACGTCTTAGATGTCAAAGCCTCTTTTGATTATCTGAATAGTCAAAATTTTCTAATCGATTTTTAACTAATTTTATTGTCGTTCTTATTCTTGTACTCGGGGTAGAGGCTTTATTATATACTCGGTGCCCAAAACTCATTTTAGCTTAAATATTAGTTTTTTTTATTAAAGAATTTTTTATTAAAAAAAAAAAAGTTTCAAATATACATTTTCAATATACCGGGTATACGTATTAAAATGTTTTTATGATTAATATATATACAGTATATATATTATTAGCAAAGCTTTAGTTATCACAGTTAGCATAGCGGGCTTTAATTCTGATTGGTCAATCACTAAAATGCATTCATCTGACTTAAACGAATTGTTCACTATACATTCGGAAGTTAGCGATGGGGTGCACCTTTTGTCTTATAGGTTAAGGTAACTTAGTTGATATACTTACAGCTAGTTTTTTTTTTAAATGTACGTACGTAGGGTTATTTGACTAAGTTTTTAAAAGCTATGTACAACATATTAAATGTAGAGTA